TGTCATTGGACAATAATGTGACCATTTACCCTTGTCATTGCACTATTATATGACCATGTACTTACATCAGTACACTATTATATGACCATTTATATGTGTCATTAGACAATAATGTGACCATTTACCTATGTCATTGCACTATTATATGACCATGTACTTATCAGAACACTATGACATGACCATTTATATGTGTTATTGGACAATAATGTGACCATTTATCCTTGTCATTGCACTATTATATGACCATGTACTTACATCAGTACACTATTATATGACCATTTATACGTGTCATTGGACAACAATGTGACCATTTACCTTTGTCATTGCACTATTATATGACAATGTACTTATCAGTACACTATGATATGACCATTTATATGTGTCATTGGACAATAATGTGACCATTTACCTATGTCATTGCACATTTCATGATAATGTAACAAATTATCTATGTCAGTACACTATAATAATACCATGTACTTATTGCAGTACACTGTGATATGACTATTTACTTGTGTCATTGCACTACAATATGACCATTTACTTGTGTCATTTCACTACAATATGACCATTTACTTGTGTCATTTCACTACAATGTGACCATTTACTTGTGTCATTTCACTACAATATGACCATTTACTTGTGTCATGTCACTACAATATGACCATTTACTTGTGTCATTTCACTATAATATGACTATTTACTTGTGTCATTGCACTATATTATGACCATTTACTTGTGTCATTGCACTATATTATGACCATTTACTTGTGTCATTGCACTATATTATGACCATTTACTTGTGTCATTTCACTACAATATGATCATGTACTTGTGTCATTTCACTACAATGTGACCAATTATCTATGTCTTTGTACCATGTCATTTTGCTGTTATGTAATCATTTACTAATGCCAGTGAGTTACAATGTGATAGTTTACTTATTTCAGTTCACTATGATAAGCAATAACTCATGTTATATTGCTACAATGTGACCATTAACTTGTGGCATTTGCTACAATGTGACCATTAACTTGTGGCATTTGCTACAATGTGACCATTAACTTGTGGCATTTGCTACAATGTGACAATTTACTAATTTACTTATGTTATGATATACTTATGTCAAATTACCATATTATTGTAACAATTTACTCTGCTATATTTAGGTAAGTGCTCTTTAAAATGACCATTTACTTCTGTCACTTCGCTAAAATATGACCATTTGTTTGTCAGTAGGCAATAATCTGACCATTTACCTATGCTAGTTATCCTTTTAACCTTTACTTAGGTGCAATGTGATGATTTACTTATATTAGTTCACTATAATTAATTAATTAATCTGCACCGTGGCATTCGGCAGGGCTGCCCATTATCTCCACTGACATTTATAATAGCTTGTGAACTACTGTCTTGTAAGGTTCGACAAGAAAAAAACATAAAAGGTATTAAAATTCAAGGGTGTGCCGATCAAACAAAGATACTGCAATTATCGAAATCGTTGTTCCCTCTTCAAAAGAGAAGACGCGAAAATCTTTCCTTATAAGGGCAAAATATTTCCCATGATGCAGTTCGCGGAGGAACAAATTTATACTTCCTTATTTTCCCTCATAGGTTTAACATGGGGATTTTCACACCTATTTTTCAAACGATATATTCGTTCATATTCCCGTACGAGAGTACAGAAAAAATTATTAGAAACGATTGATCTCTCATTAATCTTAATATAACAGCTATTTTTTTCATTGTATTAATTCATAGCGTGGTGAAAACGATGATTGAAAAGTGAGAAAATATTCCGAAAGAGAAGGTCACGTGATCAGTAGACTAGTCGCCATATTGGAAAAAACAATTCCATTCGACTTTTAATACTTTCATGCCAATCTTACCGCACTACAAACTGCGACATCGATGCAACAACTGAATAAAAGTATTCATCTTCAAATTACATTATAGAGTTACGTTGAAAACCCACAAACAACTGAGCAGTAGACCAAAGAAGACGCGTCGCTATTATCTAGGTCAATCTGTTCAGTGGTCCGAAAGCAAATGTATAGTACTCGTTCCCGAATTTTGTTGTTCATTGTACAATCTTTTATTGATTAAACTCTGTATACTGACCATTAAAGCAATGACAAAGAAGAATACTTACGATGGTGTCATTGTTTTATTTAGCGTGCGGGTGTAAAAACAAAATTGAGTAATTAGTTTGATTTAGCACTTTCGTGTCACGCAAATAGCTACGCGAAATGCATAGTGGGAAAATATTGACCAATCAAATTTTGTCCTTTTTGAGTGCTTTTTCAGTGCATATTTGCGAACGTTCTGATTCAAAGAGCGAACTGCGAAAAGGAGAATTTGCAGATGATACCTCTTTATTTTTACATGATGATCAATCTTTTCATAATACAATACATGTTTTTAAAGCTTTTTATGATGTGTCCAGTTTAAAATTAAATGTTAAAAAGACCGAAGCTTTGTGGCTAGGTAAGTGGAAAAATCAAAAGGACAATCCTGGTGAAATTAAATGGAAAATATATCCAGAAAATTGTATACAGATTTTAGGAATTACCTTTAGTTCAACAAGTGTTGTTGAAAATAATGTTAATTTTGAACCAAAATTTATCAAGTGTGAAAATATCATGAAATCATGGAATGGCAGAAGTTTATCTGTTATGGGTAAAATTGTCATTGTTAAATCACTTTTGCTATCTCAATTTTCGTATTTAATGCAATTATTTATTTTACCAGATAAATTGTTAAATAGAATTAACACCATGATGTTCAAGTTCATATGGGCAAAAGGAAAATTCAAAGAGGAAGACCTTAAAAAGGTGCCTGATAAAGTAAAAAGAGATATTTTAGTACAAGGCTATGATTGTGGTGGTTTAAAAATGATTAACTGTAAAGACTTACAAATTGCATACATGATTCAATGGATTAAAAGATTAACAGAGGATGGCGATGGCCACTGGAGAGCTATACCAGAGTATATGTATGGAAAATTAGGTAAAAAGTTTAGTGTTCTCAACAGCAATATAAGTGCTGATCAGTTGAAAGGTATCGCTCATTTGAGCATTTTCTATAAAAAGTTATTATTTACATGGCTTGAGAATAGCAATTATACAGATGAATCTATAATATGGAATAACAGAAATATTGTATTAAGTAGATATCCCTTGTACTTTCACAAGTGGATAGAAAAGGGTTTAATCTACATATCAGATGTTGTTGTGAATGGACACTTAAAACCATATGAGGTAATTTCTGAATTAATAGGAAAAAATGCTGAAACTTTAATGCAATATAACATTTTAAGAGCTTGTTTAAATCAAGAGAAAATTCATATGTATGGTAATATAAAACCCAGTGAAACACTAGTATTTCGAGGGATAGAAATTGAAAAATTAACATCACAGAAAACCAGGAATAAGCTTGTAAAAGAAAGGCAGTGTGATGTACAATTTAATGGTTTGACTATTGGTTCAGACATTTGGAATCAGCTATTTAAATGTACGTCAGACACTGGTCTTTTAAGTATCCAATGGAAAATTGTCCATGGTATATTTACACATGGTGGTTTATTAAAAAAATATAACATAGAACAATCTGATTTATGTAAACTATGTAACGAAGTTGATAATATTGAACACTTTTTTATACATTGTAATGCAATTAAAAATATTTGGAAAGATATAGCTTTGAATGATTATGAAAAAAGCTTCCTGGTCATCTCAACCCCAAGTCATCTCAACCCAGTAAAACTCAACCCCAAGTCAACTCAACCCCAAGTCAAATCAACCCCAGTAAAACTCAACCCCTAGTCATCTCAACCCTGTAAAACTCAACCCCAGTAAAACTCAACCCCTATATTTCTATATATTGATAAACTTATAAGAAAGTTTATTTCATAAAAATAATTCTGATTATTCAATTTGTGATTTTCATTCTTAGACCACTGCCTTTTTAGATTATAATAATGAGTTTATCTCCAAATGTCAACATGATACTAATAGGATTAAAATATGGGGCATTTTATTAATCTTGCTAATACATTTGTTTTGTTGTAATCCCTATGAGGTTGACACTCGTGATTATTTGGAAAACTGGAACATGACCATTGCTTCCCTTCCAGGGGCATAGCCAGCTTTCAGTTAGGAGGGATGTGATCGCCCAAAAAATCAGGTTTTCAGTCAGGGAGTTCCGATCGTGGCATAAGCGAGCCAAAAAAGATGTTTTGACAAAAAATCATGCAACTTCCTTCAAAATTGGTTCAAGGGTGTGTGCGCACCCCTCCTGGCCACGCATATATGCTTTCAGTCTATTAATTAGTAAATGTTAATGATTTTATTAATGCTTGTTAATATAAATAAAAAATTATATTACATTGTTAATTATTTCTAAATTATCTAAAATTTGATTTCAAAAGATGTCTTAAATTAAATAATAGTGACAACTTGTTGAATTATCCTTGAGCTCAACTGTTTTTTTAATACTTTTACAACTTTCTATTCAAAGTATCATGCAAAATGCTAGATTTTCAGAAATGAATGACTTAAATTATTCATCATAAAAAATTTAATTAGACATTGCACAAATGAATAGGGTTGAGTTTTACTGGGGTTGAGTTTTACAGGGTTGAGTTGACTTGGGGTTGAGTTTTACTGAGGTTGACTTGACTTGGGGTTGAGTTGACTTGGGGTTGAGTTGGACTGGGTTGAGATGACTTGGGGTTGAGATGACCTGTCACCTGAAAAAATAGGGATGGGAATATTAGATTAAAATTTATTATACAAGTCACTTGTAATAAAGAAAACTATACATGACTTTAAGTTTTCAAAGAATGAGAGAAAAAATATATCTGTAATGTTTGAATATGAAAAATATGTTAGAAACATTGTTGATTGAGAAAATGTATTTAAAGTTTTTGAAATATTTCATTTTGAAATATTGATTTGTATGCTAATGAATGATAGAAATAAATTTAAAAAAAAAAAAAAAGTTCACTATAATGTGACCATTTACTTATGGCAGTGCACTAATGTGACCATTTACTTTTGTCATTTTGCTTCAAAGTGAACATTTACTAATGTCAGTGAGTTACAATAATACCTGCCTATAGAAGCATAGTATGCTTGATATTCTTGGATGACATAGTTATGATATAATATTCCCAAGTATCAGGTGTTTCTACATGAAAATCATGACATTTCTGACTAAATGAACAAATTAATCATCGGATATCTGAGCCTGGTATCTGCAAAAGAGCACATTTCTCATAGCTTTTTTCCATAACTTCAGTTGAAAAGCATAAATCCAGGGGTTGATCAAGCTATTTGCAATTGAAATCTCAACTGTGAAATAAAACAAATGTTTGTACCATTTTGGCTCCGGCCTCTTGAATTTCACCAATGAGAGTAAGACCCAGGGTAACCAACACAGGATGAACATCCCCACGATCAAAGACATTGTTTTTGTTATGCGATTCTGTTTCTTGTACGCCACAGCTAGGTTGTTGTTAAACGCGGCTAATTCTGAAGCCACCCTTGCCCTTTGGTGTGTAGCGAACATGGCAACCACAATGTGAGCAATAGTACTGACCAAGAAAGATGCCCCTAGGTTACATTTCAGAAAAAGAGCAAATTTCGGATCCATCACCATGTTTGATCGGCAGATATCCCCTGGTCCAAACTTGATAATGTCGCCGACGAAGTTGCCCGATGATACGATTATGCAGTACACCCATATGATGCAAATGTAGATTCCAGCGCGCTTATGTGTCACCAAGTCACAGTATCTTAGTGGATACTTGACAGCAATGAAACGATCTATAGCTATCCCAACCATGCTGAATACAGATGCCCCTACGGATAAGTCATGACTAAATAGCCTTGCTGCACATAGCCATTTGTCCTGGATGTGATGTCCATATGTCAATGGCATGACATAGAGGATGAGGATATCAAGAGGGCAGCCGAACAGTCCCATCATCAAGTCAGCTATGGCCAAACTAACAAGGAACATGTTAGTGACACTGTGCAGACACTTGTAGATATACATGCTCATCAGAACTGGTATGTTGCCTGTACATATAAGCACCATCAGAATGATCTCTATTACCATGTGTACAGAGAGTTCCTCAGGCGACAGAATGGGCTTCAGCATTTCAATATTCATCTCATGAACGTTATGAGTTATTCTATTGGTGTCTTCTGTCATATCACCTGGTATAGCAGTTGTACTGTTTATGATGGTTTCATTGGTTGCCATAGTGATATTGTCAATTACACTAGTTGTCATGGTTGCAGATCATTCTTGTTTATATTTTAATTATAAGCAACTTGCTGACAAGCAGTTTTTTGTAGTGTTTTTTTTTACTGGTTGCTACTATGGTTTAAAGTCAAAATTGTGTTTTATGTTATACTGATATTGCTTGCTTGCCATGCTAATGAACAATGTTTGGTTAATGTCAGTGGTACAAATACCTGTTGCCTATTTGAAGTCTTGCACTGTACCTACATGGATCATTGCTTACATCATAATGAATCACTTTAATCACCATTAAGGGCTTCATTTGTTGGTAATAGGACAATATCGTCTCTTTTCCTTCTCAGATTTACTGCAATAGAATATTAGGAGAGGATGATTAAAAATTGATACTTTAAGTGAATGGTCAATCACTTGGAATACATGTATATAATACAATACACGTAATTGTATACTAAGATTGCGCGATCATTTCAAACAATTACTTTTCTCTTTACTTTTTTCATTCCATTCTAATTTTCTTATCTTATCTTGTTCTGCTTTAATATGTAAAGCATTTTTACTTCCCAGGGAAATCGTTATTTTCCTAATTCATAAAATCGCTTTTAGTCTATTCCTGAAACAAGATGGTATCAAAGCAAATACCTGTTATCACTGATATTGTATTTTTTTCAAATGAACTTTAATGCAAATGTACAGCCATTTATTATGGCATAATGCTCCTTTAAATTTAATAGATAAGTCAGTAACACCGATGTTGTGAATTCTCAATTTCGCATTAAATAATCATCGTATTTAAAGCATTTTACCAGGTAAAGGACCACATATGATTCGGTGAACTTAATTCAAAATTTTGTTTTCGTCTTAAACAAAAAATCTGAAAAATTACACATCGTCAATACAATTGTCATCTTTTAATGGTAATAATTTAATTTGAAAAATATTTATATATTATTTTATACAATTTTTTAGTAAACCCATTCGACCTGTCGTTTGTTCTTAAACATATATCCAAAATGACATACCATCCACACAACATACTTAGTTCTCTCAATATTTTATTCATACAAGGAAAGTTTAGGGTTGATTTTAAAAAAATTAAAAAGATAAAGTAAAATGTGTATTTTGATTTTATCTTTTTTGGGTGGGTATTTAGAATAAACCTAAGTTTCCTTGTATAACTACGATATTGAGAGAACTAAGTATTTTGTGTCATTTCGCTCCAACGAGAGTTGGATAAAGATGGTTCATTCCATTCCAAAGAATTTGTAGAAAAGAAAAGACAATGCCAAAGACAATGTTAGTTAGGTTTACTAAAACAATTATATTAAAAATATACAGATATTTTTCAAATTAAAATTGGTACAATTCGATGACCATTACATTGAGGATGTATATTTTTCAGATTGTTATCAATAATCGGTAAAAGAGAAAAAAATTTGAATTCTAAAGCAAACAACAAAAAGTATGAGAAATGGGCTAATTAATTATTATATTATTATATCATACATGTCACGTAATCTCTACATCTAGAATATATTTTTGATAAAAAGTAAAAGTAAATGCTTACCTCATTCAGTCTTCTTTATGCACAAAGTTCCATCTTTTGCATACACGTATGTATAATACCAAAATGTTGTATATATATATATATCTTTTATTGACTCTCTGATGTCATTACAATGACATATTAGTCACTAAAAAACTAAGCCTACAATCTACAAAAAAAGTAAATTTACTTTTTGATTTGCTGTCATTTAAGTATTTTTCTCATCAATTGCCATCCTTGCTCAATAACTAAACTGAAATATTTGAAATCTGAATTATCTTCTAGCAGGAACCAATTTTCTCTGCTTCCATTCTTGAAGAAATGAATTGAAATGACAAGTCTTATGTCCCTTCATGTTATGTACTTATTATTGATAAAGTCTGATTGGTTGGAGCACCAGGAGGTGATAGAGCTATGGTAAAGGCATAATATAACATGGATATAAGCCCATTTCAGAATTAATATCTTATTTCTTTTATGAAGTACAAGAAGATATGAAATTGTTAGAGTGACCAATTTTTCATTTCAAATCGTGGAATTTCTTTTGAATATGTTGAACCCAGATCATAAAATTCAGGAGTAAAACAAATGATTCTATGAATTTAGTATTAAGAACTGTTTTTCTTTCCATTTACAAAGGTAATAAGATTACTTTGATTAATACTGATGCACACTGTTGATGGAACTGTGGAATTTTTTATACCTCCTAACAAAGTTAGAGATATTGAATAGATAGGGATATTGAGTAGCCATCTTTCCTGGTACACCAAACAAGTAATTTGATAACCAAACTACCATGTTAAATATGCTTCTATTTCATATACAAGAAAATAGGTGTCACTGTACTTATGGGAATTGGACCTATGCTCGTGAAGGAGTTTCCTACATGGATGTTCAAGCTTCCATTCTTGAAGAAATGAATTGAAATGACAAGTTCAGTTAAATTATGTAAAAAATATGATCTTAATAACTCAAATACCAGTTGTCAGATTTGGTTAAGACCTATGTGCTGATGCTGTATTAGCATTAGACTTTCCTCAAGGAGGAATTATCAAAATGGCTGCTGAATTCCAATTTGCGGATTTTTGGCATTATCGAGAGATTAAATCAAGGCAGATGAATACTTTTTTGTCTTTATTCTAGAATGCAGTACATTCTGTATATGTTTTTTAAAATTGATCGAGAGGGTTCTTAAGCAAGATTGTTCATTATATCACCACCAAAATGTGACATTATAGTTTTCATTCCGTAGCTATGGTGAATTCTTTCAATTTCCTTTTCGGTAATATCTTCTGTTATCATGGTATTGGTATCAAACTAGTTAGTACAATCAGGACATGCAACATTTCTTAACCTCAGATTGATTCCAGGAGTAATTAAGCTTTAACGAAAACAAATTGAGGTTAGATTGAGTTTCAAAAATTCATACAATTACCACCTATAGATATGTTACAAATAATACAGGTTACCATCCCAACAAATAAGGTACTTAGATATGTTTCCAATCTCTCCAATAATATGTGTAATCAACATGCCTTGTTATGAAACTTTTGTGAATAAGACACTATAGAATTTACCTTTTGCATTCATTCAACTTCACTTCTTAAAAGAGAGCTTCATCTTCAGTTTAGTTTATAACTAGACTCTGCGCGCAGGGTATATAGAATTGGGCATTAGGTGGTACAGAAATTAACTAATCAATAGAAGATTCCACATGGTAATTCAAGACACAAAAAAAAATATGTATGAATTGACTATTTATTTGGTTTATTTTTTAAAAGGTTTATACTATTATTGACTGATACATTAATTGTGATACTAACGATCGTAAGACAAATCGTAATTTCAAGGACCACATGTGGCTGATTTACATTACCACACATTAAATATTTGCTCTTGATATATTGAGTATGAATTAAATATATGAGAATCATTTTATTTTTAATTTAGGTTATTCAAAGCTGTATCATAATGACTTTAAATACAAGTATTGCCATGGTTTTATTTATCATTTTAAAGTAAAGGTGGCGCTAAGGAGGAAATGATCTGATGCCAGTTTGTCTTTGAAAATATATCGCAATTCATCATGTGATTTCCTCTCTTCATCAGACATATTAGAAGGATCATTTAGCCCTTCATCCATTGACACTGGCATGACATCAACACCTTCTTTGCACTCTAATGACATTGAAGCAAATATTGTATCAAGTTTTGAATAGCCCAGAGGTTGTTTATAGACCACATCAGCGTAGGAGTCAGAAGACCATGGATTAAAAGTCCCAATTTTGGTTTCATCTGTTATGATTTTATCATCTTTATTGCCATTGCTTGGGATGTGTAATCTTTTTGGTGGAATCTCTATGAGGCTATTCAAGTTTGCATATTCTTTTATTTTTTCAAATGTGTCACCTTCGCGGTCTTCATTAAAAATATTGAAGTCCCCAGCTATTATAACTGGACAGTCCTCGCCTGTAATGTCACGTGCCATACCAGATAATGACAAGCTTGCTTTCTGTTGAACTGCTTTTGTTTCCCCAAAAGGTACCACTTGTACTGAGGCAACAAGAATTTTGCGTTGAGACGTTTTGTGCTGCAAAACTGTAACCCCCATGCATCGTCCATGTGGGTCCCCTTTAATTTCCTTTTCATATATCTGTGGAACTCTTGCTTCTGGGTCTTTGCTAAGTGCAGGTATGTCATCTTTAAGTGTCGTCCAGTACTGTTTGGTATCTATTTTGGTCCATTGAGAATCTTTACGAATACATAAGCAATTATTGAAGCTCATTGTTGAGGAATTATTCTTAAAATAATGAACAGTATATTTGTCCTTCATCTTGTCTTTCATATAGTCGAGATTTTCTTTTAAACGAATTTCTTGCAAGGCAATCACATCTAACCCAAGTGAATCCAGTTTATCATACTGTTTATCAAATCTTTTCTTGAAATTATATTGTTCACCATGGTTTTCGACCATTCTATTGGCATGGTTGTCACAGCTGACATTTAATGTTGCAGCTTTGATTCTGTCTGTTGAGGTTGAAACTTTATTTGACTTCTGTTTTTGTTCTGACATCTTACAACACCCCAGGTATACAAAAAGTCTCCAGAACCAACTAGGTCCAACTGAAATTATACAAAATGAAAGAAAAATATTGACTATTTTTGTTTAAAGGCCCGCTTCGCTTATTTTCAATGTTTTTGGGCAAAATAAAGACTTACATTTGAATTTCATAGTATGTCCAATGTATTCTTTCATTCATTTGACACCAACAACAGCTCAAATAGACCACATCAAAGCTTATAATAAATTATCAGAGAATATTTTTGATTTGTCAAGCTTTCTATATCAAGTTTTTATCAATGCCATTGAAAGATGGCAGAGTTTTTTGTTTTACATGATACATTCATTTTTATAGAAGTGTCGCCATCTTTTAAATCATTACAGTGATTTAAAACATGCGCTTTGTTTAACATGTGCATGCATGTCTAATGATCTCTGAACTTCAAATGCTTTTTTCTAGGTGAGTTATTTTTTTCTTGGTTGAAAATTAAAGGAAATCAAACTTTGTGTCATATTTGAGCGAGTGTGTGAGTAACATGTTTCAATGATTATTTTTTCTTCCAAATTAAGTATAGTGGGCCTTTAAATTAAATGGAAATCATAAATGACACTGTTGTTGATACAAAAGAGATATTCTGAATGTTAAGTTTTGATTAATGTTTGTGCAAAATCAACAAAAGTCTATTAAGATAAATTAAAGGGTGGTTTCAAAACTCTACAAATGCAAATTTGAAGTTAATCTTAATCACCAAAAGTTCAATGCCAAATATTGGTAAATTGTTTTGAATTCAAAACAAAATCACCCTCTCATCATTCTAAATGTGTCTGTTAAAGTCCCCATGCAAAGTTTGGAAGTACTGTATTTTTAAATATCCATTTATTCTTCATGAATTATTAAGTTGTTAGATGGCAAATTCTTTAGAAAGATTTCAACCTCTTGAAATATTTAACTATCTTTGAAGAATGGGGCCTTTAAATTTTTTGTTTTTCTCTCACTGTGATACTTGGGCTTATATTCTTGTTAAACGGTGCTATATCCATCTTTCTCTATATAAAATGGGGGCTAGATGGCTTAGACAGACATAGGATATGAAACTTACTAAATTGGTTTTAAGCGCTTTCCTGGCCTGCATAACATATACTAGTAATAACCATATGTAACTCACCTCTACAAAATTAGCCCATGTGTTTAGCTGTTCCCCTGTATTTATTATTCATTAATTAAAATGTGCTATGCTTGAATGTCCATACATATAGTTTGAACTGATATATATTTTAACCTTCAGGCTAGGTTCATGAATTTCAATAGTCCAGTATATTATAAGGTGTAACCTTAGGTGTACTGCTGGTTTATCATATGTTGATTCAGAGCAAACATATACTATGTATACATAGACAACTATTCGTTTTAATTTTGATTTAAAGATCCATTGTTGCCTATTGATTTCGATATTTTTATATTTTATCCTCATTTTTTAAATCATTAAAAAGGCTAAAGAGTCAGCTTTGAAGTTACTATTTGCTGGTCATTTATGGCACCACCAGAAGCAATCTGCGTCACTCTAAATAATATTTCCATAGATGAATAAGCCATGTGCTAGACATTTCATAACTGGTTCACTTTCTGTGATATACCAGGCAATTGCCTCGATATTTTCATATTAATTGATGTTACTTTTCAAGTAAGATTTTGATTCATACAAAGTTGATATGTATCACATGTTCAAGTACTTCATTATTCATAGTAACATGATTAATTAAGAGTTCCTCTTTGCTAGCTAGGCAGATAGAGCATTTAGGAAAAAATGTGCTGATTTGTAATATCATTTCTAAAAATAAACCATGTTCGGCTTTCAGTTTCAGTATATGTGTTGTTGACACCTAATATAATGTTATTCATTCAAAAGAGATAGAGAGAATAGAGATGTTTACATTTAACCTCTCCCATCCCTAATACCAGTCAATGAAATATATAATATTAATATATACATACCTTTTTTAGTTGTTTTTACAGTCATTTTGATTAATTGATAATTGAGTTTTATATGTAGCTTTGTCTCTTCAGTCAGTTACTCCTCTTTTTGATTTTAAACTGTATATTCTATATGCATGAACAGTATTATAGTACAATCTATCTCTTTATAGTGTCAATTTTTTACCAGTATATTCTAGGTTTTTCTCGATTTTTGTTTATCCGCGATCAACCAATAAGAAAATTGTTTATTTTCAAATATCTACGTTGAACCACTGATAACACAGCAAAGCATTTCACAATAGTAACAAATAGTAAGTAAACATCTTTGCACACGTCAGTCTTGACTCCGACCAAGGGGAGTTAAAAAGATGGTAAATAAGCCTAGCGGATATAAAGTATGTGTAAACACTAGTACTATGACCCTAACCCATTAGGTACTACTGTGCTGTCCAAAAAGTGTTGCTGGCATTCGCTCACATGTTAATGGATTTAGTTTTAAAGAGTCAAGCTTATATATACTATGTTTTACTGTGCCTGTTTATAATATGTTTTAAAAATCTAGAGAAAACTCATTAGAATTGAGATACATTTACTTTGGAGAAGCTAAGTCTTGCCTCCAGATGAGAATACATTTTAGGTATTGTGTCCAAAATACATACTTGGGGAGTTAAGCTCCCATAAGACAAAAATAGCTGTGACATTTCTTTTTTGAATGTATGAGTACTGTACTATACTGTACCTTTATTATTTGTGTCTGCCATTTTGATAATCGCTTGTGTTATCTTGTTCACTATACTGAATTAAATGTCAGAGGATCTTTTTTATATGTTCACATTATTTGTCATATATGTTTTTTCCTTCTTAATTTTTAATCATTTCCTATTGTTGCGTCAATTTGATTGACGTCAATGGGGAAAATATGTTAATATTTACTATTAATAATTAATCATAAGAAGTCCACGTTAACATACTGGTTGATCCTATGCTACTTAAAATATATAATAAAACATAGTATATCTGAACACCTAATTTATTCAAATACCTCACAATTTGAACACTTTCAGTCCCAATTATGTAATCTATTGATTCCCGATCCCTTAAAGAAACCTTCCTATGAGATTGACTGGTATTGAAAGCACTTATGGTGATCCCAATGGCATTTTGATTAGACATGTATTGCTGTACAAAGTGTACATGTTTGTTGAAGAGTAAGGTTATGAGTGTTAAACTAATAAAGATAATGAGATTAATGTGACATGAATCAGTGTGAATCAAGAGGAAGAATGACATTTATTTTTTATTTTAGCCATTTAAGGGCAAATAAAGTTGGGTTGCCCAATCAACTTAATAAGTGGTTTAATGTGTAACTACCTATGTGCCAGTACCAGTAGGTAGTTACCTGTTCCACCACCAGTTGGCTAATTTGGGTCAGAACATGGGAGACCATGTGAGAAAAGATATAGATTTAGTGAATCAGTTTTCATCTAACCTTTTTGAGTTTGATATTATACAAATACTGAATGATCAGGCCAGGAGATTGGTATCGAAACCAGCCCTAGACCCTAGTTTTCTCCTGAATACCATTGTGAATTATTGTGTTTTATGGATTATGGTGACAGCTTTGCAAATGAATTTTGATGAGTATTGGGTGTTAATTTCTCATTTATTCTTCAACATGTATTGTTATGACTTCAGTATGAATGAAATGTCCCTTGGTGCTCTGGTCTTGGATTGTGGTATTGGTTCTTAAATGGTGGAGAAAAGTGGGCATTAGACATTGGTTTTGAGATATATGTCATTTGTTGTTTATATGACCGGTGTACACTTAAAGTTTCTTTTTGTTAGGTTCCATAACAACTTTTGGTTCTTTCCCTTTATATTTGGCACTTGTGCTTAGATATTTACTGTGTAACATGCTTAACTTCAAATTGTATGAATTCTTAAAGAAGACATCACAAACAGAATATTTATCTATCCTTACACAAACGATAGTGCCACTAATGCAATTCATGTCTTGCCATGTCAATACATCAAAGACACCCCCTTTTATGCATTTTACATAATATTATGATATCACAACATCATGTAAAGACACCTAAATGTTGGAAATCTCATACCCCTCTGACGAGGGGAAAGTGTACCCGTGTATATACAACCTACCGCCGAGTAAGACACGCATATACCGCCAATCCAATGTTTGGTAAACTACATCTCATAGGAAAATGGACAATAAAGGTAATATTGGACCTCTATCAATTCCCTTGGATGGTTAGAATCGTTACTAAGATGTTCTAGCAGGCGGAATTGTCCTAGAATTATAGTTGAAATATATTTTTATGTACAAATTAAGAGATAAGTAAAACATATAATGGTTTTCGGTTTGATTTCTCATTCATATTCGCTTGATAATTGATAACGAGACATACATAAGACATACCTGGGTCGGCAAATGCATGTCATATGCATAATATATTAAGTGTCAAACTATTAGGTCAAAATAGCACTTTTGAACAGCAAAATTTTCACATAAACTTTGTCCTAAAAGATCCGATGTTATCGGACATCGGACCCGATGTGATCGATGAGTAATATAATAAAGATCAGAAAATATCTTGAGTAAAGGATTTCAGAATCCGAACATTACTTGAGTAAAATCTGTTGAGATCCGATGACATCGTCGAGTTTATGACATGCTGATGATGAAATAGTGTAAGGGTTACTTTTGGGAGTTTTCGAACCTTGATTTAATTGCCTTTATTAGAAGGATTCCTCGTTATTAATACTATTGTTACCATTTTGACCCAGACTGACACAACAGAAATTAGGCTATCAACACTGGAGGATAGGAATAGCGCAAAATTGCATTTAAATCAATTATTATCCATATTTATGGATTAAAATGAATATGTTCCTAATCTCTACTGGTCAATCTTTTTTCATTTTAGTAGCCATTCTACTGATATCTTATCTTATTCAAAATTGAGAGCAAATGAGCATAACGGGTCTTTTAACTTTGCACATTTTAGATCAATCAAAATATATAACTTTTTTCATATGGTTACCGTCTTGGTAGATACAAAATAACACGTACCAAAATCATTGGATTATGAGCATAGTCAAATAGAATTGATGATATTATCAACAATGAAAATTATGGTGATTTGAGTGAAAGCATGAATTAAGAACTTTGCGAGACACAGACATTGACGTATAGTGCTGCGGGAATTATATCATATTAACAGGAATTTTTGTGATATACTTCATGTTATTATATGATCATCCGAAAGCTTACTCACTACCTCATCGGGTTTTACTCACGGTATAATCGGAATACTCAGGCGGTAGCATCGGGTGCTATAGAATCATACTCGTGGTATAATCGGGTCTTTCATTTTCAACTTTCACCGGTGATTTCAATGATATGCAACATATGGCAGTAAAACAAATGTGATATATTTGCACCTATTGTATGTTTGAATCAAATGGAGTAAATACAGTGTACAGCCATGGTCCTTACTTATTTAAGATGTAAAACATCATTCTAATATTTAGAAGTTGAATTTAGCGATTTGATAGTAAATATTGCATAAAGTACTCATTATTCTGCAAACATGAGTGCCTGGAAGAACAACAGTTACTATATCTGTTACAAATAATTCTGTGCTTTATCTATTTCTCATATTGAGAAATTCAATATATAAACAGGAGTTTACTAACTTATCCCCTACATTTTTAGACATCTTCGGGTCTTTGCTCGGCTGTAGGTTGTATATACGCGGGTACACTTTCCCCTTGTGCCTCTGAGCCCCTCATCTCATACAAAAATCAATAAAAATTTTAAAGATTAGTGGTTTTTCAGTGCATGAAATCCATCAAAACAACTATGAAGCTATCAAAACAAATCAAAAAATTTGAAATTATAATACTTTGTATCTGACATAAATACAAGTGCTCTAAACACTACTCAAAAAACTAAGTGATCTTCACAAATTAAAATAGGAACCCAACAGAATGGGCTTTTGACGAATTTTCTCATTTAACTTGCAAAATCACTGTTCCACAACTAGTTACTTTGACAGAACATCAATGTAACAAAATGGATGAACTTCCTGGATATGAGATTTTTATTTTCTCAGTCTAAGCTTACTTGTTATATAAGTCAAGTTTTTAGATTATAATTTGACTCAAAGCTAGAAAATATAGTCAAGTTTAAAAAATGTGTTTGATTTAAAATTTGGTAAAATAGATGTGGACTAATGTCAATGTAACAAAAGCCAGGGACTAAATGTATGAATAACGCCTTCATTTAGAAATCTTTTCCAAACCGAATACATTTTTTAAATCTAGACTATATTGTCTAACTTTGTGCCAAATTAAAATCTGCAACTTGACATAGAAGTAGGTTTAAATTGGCAAAATAAAAAACTCATATCCAGGAAGTTCATCCATTTTGTTACATTGACATTCCGTCAAAGTAACTAGTTGTGGAACAGTGAAAATATATCTTAATATTAGATCAAAAGTATTAATTTGAACCCCACCCTGCGTTAAATTTAAAGTCTTTTCAGATTATTTTTAAAGCATTTACCTTTTTTTTAATTATTATTATACAAGTATGTTATCTTATTTATTGGAAGATTGTTTTCAAAAGTGAAGTCAATATTTATTTATTAATTTAAATCATTATTATGTATAAAGAATATATATATTATACATATTTCGAAAGCCTTCTTATAATTTAAAATAATAATTGCATTGTTTAAATAACTTTTGATAACTCAGTTAAATTATTTTTAATGATTAATTATGAGAACATTTAAACAATTTAAACACATTTTAAAATATAAATTCTCTTATAAACATGAGTCGGCGTAAAGCTTACTTTGTAAATGAGTTTATGAAATAATTACAAGAATATTTGTGAATTAATGAAAAAATTACAAGAATACCCAAGAAAAACTGGAAAGAAGAGAGAATGATCAAGTTATTATAATTCAAAACAAGTGAACATAAATGCCAAGAAAATGGATGATAAATAAAATTATTGATTAATTGTAATTGTTTGTTAAATTAATTATACAATATTACTATTTACCTAATCCAGGCTGCTGAAATGTTGCCCTTGTGTAGGATATAAAGACCGCAAAAGACAGTATAGCTTCTCCGTCACACCTTTTAACGAGTCTTTGGTATCGCG